TTCTCCTTCAAAAATAATCCTAATACTATCCAGAAAGTTACAAAAATTTCTGGATTTTAAGGATGCGATGACAAGTATATGGACAAGCACATTAAAACAAAAATAAACCATATATATAAAAATAATAGCACCGATTTGTTCATGAATAATACCAGTACCATACAATAAAGCACTTTTAAAATCTGAACAGAATATACTTACAATAATGATCACATGTTTTGGTATTGCCACGATGAATTTGCTTCTACGGACATATTGACATTTCCATCGGCAGACGAATAATCCCCGGATTGACTGTCGCTTTCTGGTGACGAGTTTACCGGAGTTGAATGAGTACTTGAATCGGTACTTTGAGTGGGAGCATCAGTTGACGTATCCGTGGAGAAAAGGTTCCTTGGCGGTGCAGAATCCATACTACTACCACTGTTTTGGTGTACTAACTGATCGAGATATTTCCTGAAATAGTTAACTACTGTTAATTGGAAGTATTCATGAAAAAATAAAAATAATAATTATCAAGATCGCTCAGGCTACCAGCATGGGATCTCACTTTAGTGATATTACTGCAATGCTTCCAAAAACTAAGCACAGCTATGCCAGACTCTTCAGTCTTAGGCTGCATACCTTCATTTAGTACTCACTGCAAAAACGGTTGCCCAATCCCATCTAAGTTTATGTTTAGCTGCTCGCCGAGTATAATTTCAACGTTTTTTTTTTTTTTTTTGTAAAAAGCACCACGAACGCGTTTTTAGTAAAACAGTAAGATTAGACATTCGCATCTGGCAGTTTTGAAAATTTTGGTACATTTCGAAGGGCTTAGCACGATTACACGTTGGTTTGTAAGTTCATGCCAGTAAAATTATTAGCATTCGGACGATCTGGACGGAATACCCACATCGGCATCCGAGCGACCTTGATGATTTTGATAATTTATGCATAATTTCAGTGTCGTGCCGGTATTAAAATAGGACTCGTGCTTGCATTAAATTCGAAATTTTCCATAGAAAAATAGCGGGAACGCGAAAACTTACACGAAATGATCATGGTCCCAACTTGGTGAATGAACAATAACAGTCGGCGATTTCGCTTTTGGCTTCTTTTGCTTTGATTTGCATTTCCAAATACAAAATCCTAACAGTGTAATACAAGTACATAATAGAATTGCTCCCAAAAGCGCGCATAGAAGTAGAAGTTGTTCGTTAATTTCTTGGCTGATGCTGTCGGATACCTAAAAAATACAAAATTAAATTTTGAAAAATCGAAATCTGAACTGACTGATTGAACTTCATTCGCTCAAAATAAAATTGGATTTCCATTACTGCCTTCTAATTCGAGTACCCAAACTGCTAAACAAGTACATGAATTGCTTTCGGTTTCCGAAAATACCTTTGTAGTAGAAGGATGAGTTGTTTTTTCCAGCTCGATGCACCACGGGCAGCGACCGATGTGTTCCTGGACCGTTAATGAAGCATCGAAACAGCGACCTCGCAATTCCACGATCATTCGGCCCTTCGAGTTCTCAGCGTTTGTTGAATTAATTTCTCCAGAATTTTGTACCTAAAAAAATTAATTTTCGAAAAAAAAGTATTGGGACCGCGCTTTCGCCATCCTGCAGGAGAATCCTATCCGTGCCAACTTTTTTTTTTGGGAAACCACCTCCAGAGGCTATGTAAGGATCATGCCACCTAACAATACAGTATCGTTTTCACCGTTAGTTGTCAACTAAAAGTTGCTAAAATACTGTGTCTGAAAAAGATACCTGTACATCTGATGCAAAAGGTTTTGTAGCTGAAGACTGATCACAGATACGCTGGAAGTGATACTTCGGGTCAGTGCCAGCAACCTCCAAAGCGATTTCGATAGACTGCAGAGTACCTTCAGTCCAGTAGCTTATGAATTTTCCATTAGAAATCTGAAAAAGCAAGTTTTTTAAACTTTATTTCAATCACGATTCATTAGCTATCACTTCCAGACTGCAAGGTACCTCGACGTGGTCTCGAAGTGGTAATGCTTGGGGGTGTGGTGATGACGTCCAACATACCTTCGTGCTGAATCTGCGATATGCTAAAGCCTTTTCACAATGCTTCACTGAGTTGGTAGACTTTTTAAAAAGACAAAAGAAACGTCAGAATGTCCAGAGTGCTAACCAACCGGGATACGGTACTGATTAAAAGAACTATGAAATAAAAATTGATGGTAAATTTGTCAGTTATAGTACTAAAGAGC